AAAAGATAAAGAACAGTCATAAATAAATTCACTAAACAAAAAATCTACTTTCATCACAAAGTCAGGGGCCATATGCAAGGAATAAAAATTATTTCTCCAACATTTCTCTTTAAATGGGATAAGAACGGTAACTGGAAATAAGACAGTGCCCAGACAAAAATTACTGGAGTTATCGTCACTTGGTAGGATTCAGCTAGTTAACAGCACATAAAATAATTACCAGAAGGAATGGTGTTTAGCTATGTTTTCTTGAATAAATGAGGACAATTTTTAGAAGTGCACAAATTAGGCCTAAGGCAAAAAATATAATTGAAATATTTTGTTTTCACTCATTTTTAAAAGTAAGCATTGTTAATCGATTTTATAAAGTAGGTCATTATAATAATTATAACTGATTTCAAGTGATAGGGGTCGTCCATAAATGACGTCACACTCGTAGAGGGGTGTGGGTGGGGGGGGGGAGTGGGGTCCGTAATTTTGTGACCCATTGTGTAATGATGGGGGTGGGGGGTTGTTCAGATGGTGTGTCGTCACACTTTTGCATTATAAAAAAAGCAATGAAACTAATTTAAGCCGTTATTTCGCGTTTTAGAAAACTGTTTTAATAAATTGTAATAAACAATTGATTAAAATTCTCTATGTTGACAGAGTTCAGACAAGATTTTGGAAAAAAATATCGTGTTTTTATGAAAAATCCAACTGCAATTTTGAGGGGGGGGGGGGTTGTAGGCTGAGGTGTGACGTCATTTTAGGGGGGGGTCTGGCTTTTTGTGACGATGTATAAAGGAGGAGGAGAGGGGGGGAGGTAACATTCTCAAAAAAGGGCGTGACATTTATGGATGACCCCCATAAATATAAATAATTTTAAAATTAAAAATATCTTGTAAATGAATTTTTTTACGGTCTTACTCTGAAGCTTACCATCTAAGATTTTTTTTTTTCTTCTTAAAACTCTTTCATAAAATAAATTCACAAAACAAAGGGCTAATTGTTTTGTTTTTGAAGATTGATGTTGATGCATGTGTGATTTTGTCCACCAGTACAATGTACACGTATGTTTAGAATTTGAAAAAAAAAATAAAACTTGCATATGACGTCACGGATCGTTTAGTATGTAAACATCCGCCATCGCGGTGTACATGTCCGCATTCAAAATGGCGATCTGTGCTGTGATACTCGAAGTGGCAAATCTAAAGTGATTCCTTTATTTCGACCTGGCCAAGGGTTATATTAAACCAAGGTGATAGAGATCAGCAATCAGCAGAACGTAGACGGTGTCAATGTTTAGCCAATAGGCCTATTTATCGAAGTGGTGTGAGTGAAGCAGCGGAAAATAAAGTTAGGGACAATAAACTTCATTTCAATTAACAAAACAACTGTTGATTAAAACAAATATGCCCGGCCTTCATAAATATTAATAGCAATTGACCAAAGTCAAAAGTAATAATAAAATCTAATTGGAATATTTATTTAATATTTAGATCTCGATCTAGAATTCAGCTCTAAATCTAATCATGCTGTTAACCGAAATTAAATCTAGATTATAAGTTTAGAGTGACTGGCTACGCCGGGTAGGCATAGAATCTAGAATCTACGTATTAAATTTAATTTAATTACAAAATTAATTACATTTAATTAGGCCTACAAAATTTAGACCAATATTCGATTCATAATACAAACAATAATTAACATATTAAAAAAGGCCTAATAATAAAAATGTAATTGTCTCTAAGATCTAGAATCTAGCTCTAGATTCTAATCATTTTATTTAGCAAACGAAATTATCTGAAATTGACATAGATTGTATGACTAGACTTAGATCTAGAATCTGCTACTGAAGATTGTAAAAGTAGTTGATATTTTAATTTTTTGTTGTTGTAGAAAGCTTTAATAAATTACTTAGGCCTACCTACCCAGTGTTTTCTTCCAGACTTTTTTCTCCGGGGGTGCACTTGAAATTTTCGGGGGGGGGGGGGGGGCTGACAACAATTTCCGGGGGACGGACGGACACTGTCAAAAGTATATATTTTCCTATATAAATTCCATTTCGTTTGGGGGGGGGGGGGGGGGGCGGTAGACTTTCTTCGGGGGGGGGGGGGAGCCTAAACCCCCCCCCCCCCCCCCCCACCCCCGAAGAGGAAGCCTGGAAGAAACTCTGCTACCTAGAATGTGTGTAATTACAGTACTATGTATCTGATACTGGACTGAGTTTAGTTAAATTTAGAGGCAGATCAGTGGTACTGATTTCCCCTTTGTTTCCCTGCTGGGCCCTGAGGGTAATAAATTACATAAGAGATGCTATCTCTCGTTGGCTGATATCTAAGAGCAGCAATCCATGTTACCTACAAGGAAATCACGTTTTATGATTGGTGTAGAAACGATTGGGGGCTGCGTGTGAAGTAGAAAATAGGTAAGAAATTTTGAGGGAGGGAAGTGGTACTGATTCCCAGAGTTTTTTCCAGACATCTCGTCGGGGGGAGTGGGGGGGGGGGAAGGAGTAGGTAAGCCTACCGCCCCCCCCCCCCCCCCCCGAACGAAATGGAATTTATATAGAAAAATATATACTTTAACAGCAAGGCTCTCAATATATAATGAACACATTTTTGAGACACGCCCACCGCTGCGAACAGCTGATTGTTTACTCGCAAGTGTTCACCACCGTGGCGGCGGACGTAGGTATCACGTGATTTAGGTCACGTGTTTGCAAAGACTCCGTAAATGTGCATATTAAGCTGGAGTTCGTTACCTCCAAATCACTGATTTACATGCAAATCTACATTGAACACATCATACATTTTTTTTTTAATTTAGATTAAATTCTGATTATTTTATGTGAATTATTTTAACATTTTATTTTTTAAGGTTCATTTTGATCACCCCACACAAATTGAACTTAAATTCAAGTACTAACACAATGCAAACATTCTCAAAAGCCCGAATAATCCAAACGTGTGTTTCCTACAATCAATCAGTGGGATTACATGGTAAACTAAAGAACTGAATATTCACAGTATGTTACTGAATTTATCCAGCTCTTATAGGGTTCGTCCATAAATGACGTCACACTAGTAGGGGGAGGGGGGTCAGTAATTTTGTGGCGGTGTGTGATCTGAGTTTCTTCCAGGCATCTCTTCGGGGGGGGGGGGGGCTTTAGCCCCCCCCCCCCCGAAATTTTTTTACCGCCCCCCCCCCCCCCCCGAACAAAATGAAATTTATAAAATTTATATAGAAAATATATACTTTTAACAGTGTCCGCCCCCCCCCCCCCGAAGAAAGTCTACCGCCCTCCCCCCCCCCCGAAAATTTCAAGTGCCCCCCCCCCCCCCCCGAGAAAAAAGTCTGGAAGAAACACTGTGTGTGATGAGGGGGAAGGGGGATTCAGATAGTGCGACGTCACACTTTTGCATTATAAAAAAACAATTTTAGACGTTATTTTCTTATATTTTGCGTTTTAGAAAACGGTTTTAATAAATTGTTATAGGAATTGATTAAAATACTTTATTTTGACAGAGTTCAGACAAGATTTTTGGTTTTTCGTGACGACGTGTGACGGAGGGGAGGTAAAAATCGTCCAAAAAAGCGTGACGTCATTTATGGATGACCCCATAGGTTCCTGATTCAAAGTAGTTAATAGTAAGTCAATGTTAAGGCTCCACAGTTGATTTTCTTATACTGACTTATACCTTGCTGTCATGGGCTCAGTTGCTCTGATGAGTTCTGAAACTAGCAGACCTGTCTTTACCTTTCCTTTTTTTCTCTCTCCCGGCCCAGTGCCTTAGAATACTGCTTTGCCTAGGCCATGTCAGTTTTTTTTTTGTTTTCACTATGCTCAGTATACTCTTAGTGTAAGGTTTTTTTTTTTTTTGTGAAGTTGCATTTGTGACCCTTTCCTGTATTTCATGAGTTATGTGATCTGTTGAATCAGGTACTGTAGGTAGTACAAAACCCTTCCCTTGTGCAGACCCCCCCCCCCCATCAACAGATCCAAGGTGCTAAGATCACTGTAGTGCTCACATGGGTGTCCGCCTACTAAACTGCCAGGATACATTCCTCCCCAGTATTCTCAACAGCTTCCCAAACATAGTGATCAGATGAAAGGTCTAGTAATCCATGAGACAAACACACCCACAGACATTCTATCAACTTTACAAATATATTGACTAGTCATGTCAATTCTTAACAATGGCTATAGATATCTACACTGTGAAGGGTATTGCAATCTGTTTCTTTTCCAAGTATGTAACTGCAACTGACTCCCAACCCAGTGTCAATTTCATATTTACATTAGCAAAAGTGCCCCCCCCCCCCCTGGAAAGTTGGATTTTCTATATTGGTAACACTCTTAAAGGTAATTTTCTTTATGGTCACATCAGCGTATTAAGGTTTGTAGCCCTTTAATCCCCTAACACAGCAGGTCAGAAGTGGTACTAACACACCGGCAGTCTAACCCTTCTGTTGCCCTATAAGGGCCGGCTGTCCCACATCCTAGCTACACCTCCAGTACTATCAACTTACATATTTAATATGAAAGCAATTAGTCTGGAGTAGTCAAGTGCTTCTACTTCTAGTAATTATCACAAAAGTTTATCATCCCTAGATCAATGGTAGCAAATTATTGATATTTATATTTTACGAAAATAGGGCATACAAATGCCCTTTTCAGCAATTCACTGTAGAATGTCAACATCAGTTGTGACTTGGTAATGGTATTGACAAAAAGTTAAACTATGCAAGTCTTTTAGAATAGGTACACAACACAATTTATAATCTTAAGTGTTGCCAAAGAATCTATAATTCCTCCTGGACTATCATTGTTAATAACTCAAACTGGTTGCTTAAAGTAAGTTAAAGGTTGTCAGGCAGGAGACAACACAAATCAGATATACAAATACATTAATGCATGTATATAGCACAGGGAGGGGAAAAAAAAAATATAAGGGAACAAGCTATAAATGCACTTTAGAACTTTCATATTTTGAACAGATACTACATATGACACAGGCATTTTTTAAAAAATCTGAGATTTATTGTCAAATAAAACAAAAGTAAAAATATTCAGTCAGACTAATCATTTGGACAATCAAATCACATTTAGCAAATATCTATAAATGCCTCTCATATCAGAACACATTGGTCAGTGAAGTATTGTAGAACTTCATAACTGATTACATCAAAGTCAAGCATGTATACATAATAGTCAAATCCAGCCACAACTACATTTATGTCCTATCCTTAGCTCTCGAACTTCCCAAGAAGATCGCTGTCTCTGAATAAATAATACTCCTGAAAAAAAAAAGCAATGTAGTACAAATAAGTGACGATACATATCTAAAATATTGCTAAGGGGATTGGCAATTACAAACAATATTAGCTACCCACCTTTTCTTCCAATACAACTTTAGTTCCACCATACTCTGGAAGCAAAACTTTGTCTCCAACTTTCACACTAGGTGGCACAACAGTACCATTCTGTGGAATGAAAAAGTCATAGTGCGTCTATTCCCCAAATAAATCAAAGAAGCTCTATATTCATTTTCTCATCAAGAGGGACCATCTAATTCACATCTACAGAGAGAAATTTTCAAATTTAAAATTACTGAGAAAAATATTCACTCCTTATTTAACAAACATCAAAGCTCATGAACTCAACAAAAGTAACAGGAAGGAAATTAATTTTTAATAGTTGTATCCCTTTAAAACCAATATATATTCACTGGCAATTTTAACAGCGCACAATATATGCCTATGATCAGTTGTTACGACAGTTCGTGGCTTAATAAAATGACAAGTACTTCTAAACTTCTTTAGTCTAAAAAACCGTTGTTACTAATTTACATACTTAAGTGAACACTTATCCTAGACCTCACATTTGGTACCAGTGACAAGTTTATAGTCTACAGCCACGAAGAAAATGAATTCAGAAAACAAGTGGAAGCTTACATCTTTCCTAGCACCAGTTCCTGTAGCAACAACTGTGGCCTCTACAACTTTTCCTTGCGATTTCTCTGGAAGCATGATACCACCTTTGGTTTTAACTTCTGGGAGAAATCTTTCAACAAGCACCCTATCAAACATGGGGATGAATCTTTTAAATGCTTGTGCCTAAATGAAGAAGATAAATGATTAAACACCAGGTCACCAGCCTTAGTCATACATGTTTAACATGATAATAGTGGTTTACTATTAATCACATAAATGAAAAATGTGATTTAGTGCATTATTAAGGTTAAAATGAGATAAAAGACCTTAAATTCAACAACTCGTCCTAATATTTTTCATATTATGGGAGGGGGAAGGGCTGCTGGAAAGACCAGTCTAATACTCTTTGACTTTTGACAGTAGATCTAGATAGATGGGTTGAGGCACTGGACAGTCATAAATTTTATAGAATCTAGAAAGGCTTACATATTTGTACATAGATCTATATTCTATATACTAGTTACTAGATCTAGTATATAGATCTAGCAAGATCTACCTAGCTAGATCGTTTAGCAGTAAAAAACAGGAAAAAAATGACAAAGTCTGTCACGCAGTTCCGGAATCCACCGGAAGAACTGGAAACCATACTTTCTATGGCGTCATCTTTTATCTTTAAAAAAAATGTTTACAATTTGGATAGATTTATTTTAATATTTATTTTAATTGTGCGTTAAATACTGTTTTATTGATTACGAGCCGACCCGCAGCGTATCATACGCCGCTATTTAGTTGTTTTATTTTCTACTTTTCAGTAATTCATAATTTGTGAATTCGACAGTACCAATGCTGCCACTGAAAATATTTGCTTTAAAACACCAAACCCCCCCCCCCCCGTGAAAGCAGCCTCCTCTTAGTTATTTCTTAGTTACCTCCTGTAAGTTTAATATCGAACTAAATTATCTGCCCCCTAATAGAAACCCGGCTCTACGATTTGTAAACATTTAGCGTGACCACAACTCACCAGACAATGTGGGGGTGGTAGTGATAGTGATAGAGGGGACTGCAAGGAGGCGCTTGCAGCTTGTTTTCTAACGGCTCCCAGAAGAGAATTATATATAGGCCCTATAGATTTACTATATTTAGTAGGCCTATACTAGATCTATAACTATTTATTTTATTTTAAAGTGTTTCAGCTAACTATTTCTGCTACTAAACATAGTTTAACAGGGTTCATAAGCAGCCTGGAAAAAAGTCTTGAATTTAGAAAAGTGAATTTCAGACTTTAAAAGTCTGGACGATTTTAAGTGAATTTCAGACTTTAAAAGTCTGGACGATTTCTCAGTTACTAGAGTAAAGTTCCACGTGTGGTCACACATAGCGAAAAATTCCGAACTCCCGATTTTCATCGGGCGCTATTTTATAACCGTTTCACACAGAAACAAACCGAAAGTACTTTATTACTCCACTGCCATTCTACTCTAATATGCATAAGTTGTTTTGTATTCATACGCATAGTATTTGAGATATTCATGTTTTAGTGACGAACCTCCTTGTGATCTATTTTTTCCCCCTTCTTTTTTTGCCTGCGGTCACCTGTCCCTGCTTGTGATCACTAGCGTATTTTTTACATTTTGATCCAATTTTAATAATTGAAATTAACATTTTACTCATTTAAACGTGTTGTTGATTGTATAATTAATAGATTTGCAAAACCAAATAATAACACGTGAATTAAATTTATTAACTACAAATTACGGATGACCCAGTGATGACTCAAGGGACGCAACAATAATAATCATAACAAAGGGACGTAACAATCACTAACAAGACAAAACGTAACATTTGCTTCAATTGGATTGTATGTAGAGACACAAACTAGATTTAGAAGACGTAGATGATTGAAATAATTTAAAACAACAGAAAAAAATAGAAATTATACAGGTCCTAGACTTAGCTTGAAATATAGAGCATCTAGATCTAGGCTAGTCTAGCTAAAGTCGTTGGTGACCACAGCGAGGGTAAAACACAAAAATCGTTACCCCAGCTGTGGTCACCCCCATTTCACCACTAAGATTCTTTTAATAGCCTTAACTACAGTATTTTGAGTGTCCCGCACATAAATAGAAGCTATTTATAGTTAACCTAGTTATAAAAAGCTTTGATTGGTTGGTTTTATTCATCTCATCCAGGACCTAGAGGAGTTTACACTTTTCGGACACACACCAAAAATTACGTAGGAGCGAACACTTCGTCGGTTTTTGGCTCATAGAAACTTTAATTAGCATGTCTCACGCGAAACCACGGCGCCTGCACGTAAACTGTTCATTTATGAACACTTCCGTGTCAAGTACTTCCGTTTCCTTTCTCAAGAATTATTTTTAGAAATTTTTTAACGTTGCATGGTACGCACATTTCTATTTTTACACCAGCCGGATGAAGTGACCTAGGGGCAAAACTTGAACCAATCAATGCTTAGCTAAAAGGTTACACTATAAATAGCTTCTATATATGTATGGAACATCGTAAATGTCAAGGTTAATGGGTTTTTTTTGTGCTTGAACAATAAAAAAGGGGTGTTCGCTAACTTATTTGGCCTTACATGGGAGCGGACAGCAACACAAAAATATTATTTAATAAGAATTTAGAGCATAAAAGGGGCTGGTTATTGAAGGGAAAGGGTCAAAATAAGGTCAAGAAGGCAATGGAATGCGAAAGAGGAGGGGGAATCATGTGACATGGCTGGCTTAGCAGCGTACTGCGCGAGCCGCAATGGCTGAATGGGATGAACTTTGGGAGTGTGGGAAAAAGGTTTTATACTATTAAAATTACCTCACAAACAATCAATAACACAATATAAATGCATATAATCTGTTTTTATTCATTAAATTGACTTTAAATTATTCTAAATGAACAAAAAGTGCTATGTCCGATGACGGGTAAAGGTGTCCGAACACATGTAAAACTGTATTACATGTGTTCGAACACACGTTAAGACCCCCCAGTCACTATAACAAGAATAGCTTAAGTTCTATGCGTATGAATACAAAATGACACACACATTATTAAAGTAGAATGGTTGCGGATAGATATGATACTTTTTTTTGTTTTCTATGTTAAGCGGTTACTGAATGAGACCGCATGGAATTTTTACGTTGCGTTTTTTCGCTATGTGTCCGAAAAGTGTAAGCTCCTCTAGAGCGAAAAAACGCAACGTAAAAATTCCATGCGGTCTCATTCAGTAACCGCTTAACATAGAAAACAAAAAAAAGTATCAAATCTATCCGCAACCATTTTACTTTAATAAAAAGATTTTTGTGTTGCTGTCCGCTCCCATGTAAGGCCAAATAAGTTAGCGAACACCCCTTTTTTATTGTTCAAGCACAAAAAAACCCATTAACCTTGACATTTACGATGTTCCATACATATATAGAAGCTATTTATAGTGTAACCTTTTAGCTAAGCATTGATTGGTTCAAGTTTTGCCCCTAAGTCCAACCCTAGGTCACTTCATCCGGCTGGTGTAAAAATAGAAATGTGCGTACCATGCAACGTTAAAAAATTTCTAAAAATAATTCTTGAGAAAGGAAACGGAAGTACTTGACACGGAAGTGTTCATAAATGAACAGTTTACGTGCAGGCGCCGTGGTTTCGCGTGAGACATGCTAATTAAAGTTTCTATGAGCCAAAAACCGACGAAGTGTTCGCTCCTACGTAATTTTTGGTGTGTGTCCGAAAAGTGTAAACTCCTCTAGTGCTTTTCATATGGGGGAACTAGAATCGCCTACGACGTCATACCTCTAAACTTGAAAATTTAAAAACTCGTCTTCCAGAAGGAGGGAAACAAAAGAATTTGACCTGGATATAGGCCTATTTAGAAATGGACATGCTTACAGTAGATATTGGTAGTTTCGTATAAAACATCTAAAAAAATATTATACGAAGCCATAAACAGGAATGTGACCACACCGTGGTTTTGACCACACGAGGAACTTTACATCATTTGGAGGGGGGGGGGGGGATGTGGGCATAAAAGTTTAGTCAGGCCTAGATCTACTTGATTTATTTAATTCTTTGATTACCAGAGTCTAGATCTTGGTAAAATCACGATATAGCGTCGGAAATTATTGGGTAATGTTCGTTGAGTTTCGGTAACATTCGTTACTGTAAACCATAGTTTATTTGACCGTTGGAAAAAAAATAAAGTCAAGTGCATTAAATTAATGTTTTAACTTAATTTAATGTTTAACTGACAAAATTAGCAACAATTAGTAAATCTAAATATTATTAATAAAGTCGAGTGTAGTAATTAATGTTTTTTTAAGAAAAACAGAAAAAACCTGCAGAAGATTTGCGACAACCAGCTCTAGTTCTATTAGTAAAATAAGACGATTAGATTTACTAAAGTTAAAAGTAGTAAGAAGAACTAGAATAATGTTTAGTAGCAGCAATAATTAGCACATACACTTAAAATAATTAGAAATACAAAATAATTAGCAAAACAGTATTTAAAATGCAACTAAAATCAATCCTTGCACATTTTTAAACATAATGTATTAAAAATAATATGGCGGCAAATAAATGATGGTTTACAGTATTTCCGGTGGTTTCCGGAACGGCTCGACACCGAACGCCATGGTTTTATTGTTTTTTACTGCTGTACAGTTCCGGAATAATAACCGACGCTATATCGTGATTTTACCTAGATCTTTATTCTAGTAACACTACAGACTACAGTACAGAAAGGCAGGCTAATAATAAAACTAATTTTATAGGCCAATATATATAATATAGTTATAGGATAGATCTAGATTCTAGATATAGAGAGTCTAGACAGGCCCTAAACCACGTGAGCTAGCTAGTCTCATAACGCGAGTTGAATTACCTCCCCTGACCCGCTTTTTTATGGCCACTTTCTAGTTCGTTTTTTTCGATCGCGTCTCGGCACTGTTGCTAAAAATAGCATTCGCGCAATACCATTCGGGTAAATCTGTATGGCGTCTGCTACACGTGATAGATCGTTGAATGGCCGACAAGCTGATATAAAAATTATTGCAACCGGATGCGATTTTCGTGGAAATTGAGCTAGATTTAGCAAAAGGCAGCTATATTTGTGTAAAATATTATTATTTATACTTCTACTTACACAGATATTTTGATAACTGCAGTTCAGCCGTCCATTTTTCTTTTAAAATGTATCTTTAGAATTTCTGTACCTTTTGGCAATCGGTCAGGAGCATTTGCGCACTAAACCCACCCCCCTACGGCAGATCCGATTTTTTTCCCAGTGAACTCGTACTGACCTCCCACATAGCTAAGATAGTACATTGATACTGATGGGAAAGCCTCTAAAATCTGTATTTCTACTAGAGATCTAGAAATAAATCTAGATCGTGGAGTTTTTATAATGCCTTTAAATTGAATGTCTCCAGTTTAAGATATTTTTTTTTCAAAACATAGCTACTTTTAGTACTATATTTAAGTATTTCAAACCCTTTTGGTAATTTCTTCTTAAACTTAGACCTAGATCTAGTGATTAGATATCTATATTTTGTACTTATAACTTGCAGGCCTATTAAAATAATAATAAAACAGTTTGCTTGATAACTTCATTAGGTCATTTCATAAACACAAATGTTATAAACATATAAAAATCACAAATCCATAGGTAATATCTGAATTCTGTAGCCTACCTTACATTTAAGCTAATACTGAATTAAAAAGAAATTACATTAAGGTTTGAAATTAATACAACTTGTAATTAAGAAAGAAAGCTTCAATTCTAAATACTACAAGATATAATAACAAACAATGAAACAAATTCAAAGCTTTTTTCAACCCATTTAGTCGAAAAGATTTTTATTTTTTCCGATATTGACCAAAATAAGTTTTTAAAGCTTAGGCCTACTGTTTTTACAAACATAACTCAATTTTATTAGGCCCCTGTAAACATTAATTAAGATTCCTCTGTAGACAAAGCAATCTATTTGGCAGATGAAGTAGAGTTCATGTTTCTTGACCTCGGCATATGAAGTGATTGTCCGTGTGGTCAGCGATATTCACAGCCGCCTTTACTTTTTACCTTTAATTTCCCCAATGTATATCAGGTACCCATCAGAAATGGGTGGACTCTAATTGAATTTTATTAAACAAACATTTTGATATAGGCCTAGATCTATAATCTATAACATTCCAAACAACATCTGTTCTGTAGAATTTACCTTTCTGCTTCCAAATGCGGTATTTTCCAATTGAAAATTCATCACAAAACATACAATAAATTATATAAATGGCATTTTATAAATTTATATAAACTATTTACTTTCACCTTGGTGTAAAAAAATGTAGGTATAAGCAAACAGATTTCAATAGTAAGAAAGAATCATGTCTTTTCTTGCTTACTAATTACTAGCTTTAAAACAAGTGAATTTGACTTTTTACCTGCGTTTTTGGTCGCGTTTCTATATATTTTATTTGCGACACTAAAAAAATTATATTTAATCAACCGATAATGCTAAATTAATAAAATTGGTACTGTTGGATTGCATTTTTAAAGCTCTACAATTATATGCTATTCTTTTTATAATTAGAAGAAAATTGAATTTATATGAGACTAACTATGAGATGTATGCATGCCATGCGTGAACAATCACAATACCGGTACAATTAACAATTCAATCAATTATTAATTACGTAGTAACATAGATCTAGATCTAGATTTAGATCTACAAACATTTCTTTGAGAACTTCACAGCATAAGCATGCATTTCAGCACAAAACAGATCTAAATTTTACGGACACCTACCATTGTGAAAATAACTCGACAAAATGTTCAGTCTTGATTCTAAACAGGCAGGATTATGAAATACTGAATAAGAAGGTGCCCTAGACCTGAACTAGTAGTACAAGCAGTCAGTAAATTCTAGAATAGCCTTTGACCTGTACGCTTAGGAGTGCGCATGTGCATAACCCGGTTTTAAGGGATCATTCATAATAATTAATTTAGCATTTTATTTATATGCATGTATTAACATAAAATAAACATAATCTTATAATTAGAAATTTTATTTTATCCGTATATGTATACTATATTTTTTTAAAACATTTAATTTCAATTTTAAAATAACATATTTTATGTCAATAAAACTTTTAACATACACCTCTTTGCAGCGAGGGCTGATGACATCTTTCATTTCAAGGTCTGCAGCAGTACGTTTTCTCAGTCTGATCTTGCGAGCTGAAACGACCAAGGTGGGTTAACTTAACTCAAGATACTAATTATTAAACCTTCTTTATTTTGTCATCAGTTATTCAACACTAATTTAATGCAGTATAGAGTAGTATAGACTCTAGATCTAATTATATTTTTGATGCATTTAATAATGTAGTATGGTTTTCGCTCTCCACGTGACGCATAGAACAAGCTTCTAGACTACCTCCACGTGGGTACTGGTAACCGGCAGCGTATGAATTAGTCACAAGTCTAAAATATGCACCATAACGTTTTCGACTTGCTTTTTGATACTTTTTTCGGTTAACAAATACCATTAAAATCTTGGTCGAGCTAGTCTAGATTTAGAATCTAGATTCTAGATCTGATGTCTTACGCAGTTCAATAAAAAGTGTTACATTTTAAATCTCAACTGGGCTAGATCTAGCTTTTGAGTTGTCAATTTTTTCTTTCTCAGGCTGATAAAAAATTAGCCTCACATCAAAATGTTGCGTGTAGCAAGTGTTTTCCGCACTGCAGCTGCAAAGAATCTGCTCCCAGCAATAACCAGACATTATGCTAAAGATATCAAGTTTGGTGCTGATGCTCGTGCCCTGATGTTGCAGGGAGTCGATCTTTTGGCTGATGCTGTAGCAGTTACGATGGGACCTAAGGTATCAATTTTTTTGTGCTGATTATTAAATGCACCTGTGCATTTATGACAGTTAAGTTCATCTTTTGAAGTTTGAGCGTTCAGTTATTTACGACCTACAGTTGGACAATCTAGATCAGTCTCATAAAATGGCTTTGTTAGCCTTCCTAATCCCTGCATCCTTCTAGCAGGAGTAAAACTATTGCTGTATCTATCACCATGCTAGCATAAAATTTCATATATCTGCCGCTTTTCACCAATTATTACTTAAAGCCTAAATTCACCTTCATTTGACCTTTGAGCTTCTTTAAAGTTACCTGCATAATATAAAAATACTTGTACACATTTTATGCTCTGCACTACTTTTTTAATTGTAGCCGTAGACCTAATTTTAAAAAAAAAGGATGGTTGAGGATACCAATGTCAAATACTATTACCCATCCAAAACTAGGTTGTCTGTAGTATCCTGATTAGTTTTTGAAATTAGGGATAGGGTTAGCATTGACATTAGTAAAACAAGTGTTTTTAGACTACTGTTAACCAAAGATATCTTTTATAGGAAGGTTCTATTATCTGAAACGGGTTTAAAAAATCCAGCAATCTGAAATTGCAGCCGTAAAGCAAATTTAGCAGTTGACTAGTATCATGGCAGATGGATTAGTCATTTACCCCTTTATTGCCATACAACCCTTTGATGACTGGCCTGCCCACAGCACAGTTTAGCATAACCCACATAATTTTTGCATTTTAATAGTCTCTACTAAACTACCTTAATCTCTAATTTCATAGGCTTATATTAAACTAATTGAATGTAGCCATTGTTTCTGTTCTTCTAGGGTCGCAATGTGATTTTAGAACAGAGCTGGGGTAGTCCAAAAATTACCAAGGATGGTGTAACAGTTGCTAAAGGAATTGATCTGAAGGACAAGTTTCAAAATATTGGTGCCAAACTGGTACAAGATGTTGCCAACAACACCAATGAGGAAGCAGGTGATGGTACCACAACAGCCACTGTCCTTGCAAGGGCTATTGCAAAGGAAGGTTTTGAAAGAATTAGCAGAGGTGCAAATCCTGTTGAGATTAGAAGAGGTATTTATTTTTTCTTTTTTTTTTTTTTTTTATTAACACCAACTATACCACCATTTTTCCTCATATGGATTAATGGTATGTCAATGGTGTGATATTATATTCCCATTTCTTGACTGCTACCTAATTTAGATTAGTAGTCTCTCTCTTGGGGAACATTTACATATTTGTTTTGTGCTTTGATGTTTAATTTTTGAAATAGGGTCTAATATATTTATTGTTCACTTGAAATGTAGGTGTAATGTTGGCTGTTGATGCTGTTGTTGAGCATTTGAAAAAAATGTCAAGGCAAGTAACGACACCAGAAGAAATTGCACAGGTATAAATCTGTTCATTTTGTTAGCTGAATTTTTTTTATTTTAAAAGTTTGTAAGGATATTTTATTACATTCAGCAATTTTGCCTGTATTTTTCTCAGGTTGCCACAATATCGGCGAATGGTGACAAATCAATAGGTGATTTAATTTCCAGTGCAATGAAGAAAGTTGGAAGGGATGGCGTTATTACAGTCAAGGTGAGTACACATAAATGCAGGTTTAATCACTTGTGTTTTACTGGGTTAATAAAGGTTTGTTTAGATGGGGTATTACTATGTCCACCATTTAATCTACAGGATGGGAAAACACTCAAGGATGAACTAGAAACCATTGAGGGCATGAAGTTTGACAGAGGCTACATTTCTCCTTATTTTATGAACACTGCTAAGGGTATGCTGTTTAATCAGATTTTTAGGGCGGGGAGATACTCTGGTTACCTATTTTCACACTTTCTAAACGTCAATTAAAAAATTTCCTTTCCAGGTGCCAAATGTGAATTCCAAGATGCACTGGTACTACTTAGTGAAAAAAAGATCTCAAGTATTCAGTCGATTATTCCAGCATTGGAACTTGCCAATCAAGCTCGTAAACCATTGCTTATCGTGGCTGAGGATGTTGATGGAGAAGCTCTTAGCACATTGGTTTTAAACAGGTAAACATTTTTCTCAATGCACTGCACTCGCATTGTTGTGATGATGAGACTTTGGACTAGAGTCACTGAATTTTATGTGATGACATTTAAGTCTTCTGAACTTCATAATTGCAGTTTCACATTTAATTTGCTTTGTTAAAAGGAATTTCTAAGCTAGTGAATGTTTTAGTCAATGATTCTACCCTGTACATTATGCACTTTCTGATATAATTGTTTATTACATAGTCACACATTTTATGTTCCAGATCTTATTTCTACTGGTATAATTTTCATTTTGTGATATTTTACAAGTATGAATATAGCAGCTGATTATTTTTCAGAATTAAAGTGGGACTTCAGGTATGTGCTGTTAAAGCACCCGGATTTGGGGACAACAGAAAAAACACACTGCAGGATATGGCTATTGCCACTGGTGGTGTGGTAAGTTCACTTGTGGATTTTGGCTTAATAAATTTTTTACACGCATAGTTAGCTTGTGTAAAATTTTAAACATTGCTATTAACAGGTTTTTGGTGATGATGGAAATCTGTACAAATTGGAAGATGTTCAAATGCAAGATTTTGGTAGCGTCGGAGAAGTGTCAGTAACTAAAGATGACACATTGTTAATGAAGGTACTTTTTTCCTACATACATTTTTTTTTATCAATATTTTCCTTGCACAAACCGGATTGGTGCCTGTCTTGTTGACTTTACACCCAACAATGTTGTGCTAGATTATCAGCTTGCAGCATTTTGTGTTGCAGTATTTAACTGCATTAAAATGCTCAGCTTACAAGTAAAAAATGAATCTGTATTTTTTTTTTTAACATGTTAATGTATTTTCCAGGGTAAGGGTAATAAAACAGAAATAGATAAACGTATTGCTCAGATCAAGGATGAAATAGAAATTAGTACTTCTGATTACGAGAAAGAAAAGTTCAGTGAGAGATTAGCCAAACTTTCAAATGGAGTTGCTGTTTTAAAGGTACAGTAAATTTAAATTTAGTGTTCTTATACTCTATTTAATGCTGATCCTGCCATTTGGTTTATTTTAAGCCACTTGCATTTATAGTCTACTCTGATTGATTGGTTTCACTCAGAATAATATGAATGCAATATTATTTGCAAGACACTTTCCAGACTGTATGTATCACCTCTGGCATTCAACTTGCAACATTTTGCATTCGCTTATATATATATTTTTTTTAAATTTTATTCTACTTTCTTTCATAAAATGAAAATGTATTTATAGATCGGAGGAACAAGTGAAGTGGAAGTGAATGAGAAGAAAGACAGAATCAATGATGCTTTAAATGCTACCAGAGCTGCGGTTGAAGAGGGTATTGTCCCTGGTGGTGGCACTGCTTTGCTCAGGTGTATATCAATCTTAGATTCTGTAAAAACAGAAAACGAGGATCAGATAACTGGTAAGATATCTTTGTATAGCTTGCTTTAAACTTACTTGTGCATCAACTCCTCCATTTAGTGACTATTCCTATATGGCTGTCATATGATGCTAAAGAAAGAGTAGCTCAATTTGCTTTTAAATGGCCTTGATGTCATTACATTTTGAGCTGACATTTAGTATGCATGTTATTTTAAATATGTCGCAGTATTGAGTTGAGACTAAAATAACCATATTCAACTTGTTTTTTTTTTACTAGGTGTAAACATTGTGAGGAAGGCACTAAGGGTTCCTGCTCTGCAGATTGCCCAGAATTCTGGTGTTGATGCTCATGTAGTTGTTGAAAAGGTTCTCAACTCTGCTGGTGATATCGGATATGACGCTTTAAATAATGTATATGTTAATCTCATTGAACAAGGAATCATTGATCCAACAAAGGTGAGTCTTACATTAGTTTGTGTGTATTGATGTATTTACAGATGCACTTTTGCCCTTTGGAAGATTTTCATAATCTTTCAAAATAATTTTATAAAGTGCTACATTAAAAGCTACCAACCTTTTTCATGTTTACATTTATTGTTAATGTGACAGAACGGTAGGCGACAATCTCATTTATTTTTTGTTATATTTATAAACAAAAATTTAGATGTTAAGAACTTGAGTATTTTTTAAAAAAAATAATTGTCCAACAGGTTGTTAGGACTGCACTTGTGGATGCTGCTGGTGTTGCCTCACTGCTTACCACAGCAGAAGCTGTTGTTGTAGACTTGCCCAAAGAAGAAAAAGAGATGGGAGGTATGGGTGGTGGCATGGGAGGTATGGGGGGCATGGGTGGTATGATGTAAATTTGTTGCATTAAGTTTTTATCAATCATACCTTTATAGCTGCAGTGGGATTTTACAGATTGTGTTCAATACTTTCAGTTGTTAGAATTTTCTATCCTATAAACTGTAATGAGAATATTAGGTGTTTGACTCTTGTAGCAAGCAGTGCCAGTTTAAAGATGTGAGTCAGGGGTAGTTTATAAAGACGTGATATTTAAGTGGTCCAGGCATTTATTGTGATTATTACATCCAATGAATATTGCAATTATCATCTATTCATACTGTTGATTAGCTATAAGCTGCCAATGTCTAGATATGTTGTACTGCTATTAGCAGTCACTTTTTTTGTTTCATAAACCATTATTTGCAGTATGCAAGAAGGAGAGGGTTATGTAAAGGAAGTTGAATGCTGTTTGAAAGTATTTGAATGTGGATAAATTTGATTTTTATATTTATAAATAATAAAACAATGTCTTTTACTTTTTTTTGTCAATTTTGTTTGTAACTCATTAGAAATGACTAGACTAAGATTTGAGTTGCACAAGATAGGTCCTAAAAAAAAGGACTGATAAAATCCTAAGGGCCTTAAAGTGGCATTTGAGGAATACCAGTTATTTTAAATCAAGATGGTCTCCAACTCTTATCAGCTGTTACCAATCTGAAAATAACTAACCTCTTTATTAAAGTAGTAAAAGAAGAAAATGTAATGTATGAACTGATTTTGGGGGTTTTAATTACCTCAGACTTAATAGAATACTTATATAGTTTGGATTTCAAAAATTCTGAATGTAAACTAAAGACTAACAAATTATTCAGCTAGTATGAATCTGAGGTTTGTTAACAGTTAAAGGGAAATAACCACACAATCAACTTGTCTACACCTCTACAATAGTTTACTTTCTTTTTTTTGTAATAATTGGGCTGGTCATGAAAAGTTGCACTATGTTCAGCAGATGTTTCCCGAATGAGCAAAATAATAATTTTGCTTCATGAACATCTTTCTTAATTATACTGTTGACGTTCGCTTCAGCAATAGGACAATTCTAATCGAGTCTCCAAATATGTTGTGCAAAGCATCATTTCTTTCTGAGCACGTAATTGTGAAAAAAGCTAAAGTGTTATCAGAGTTCTTTAAATTTCAATGGCTAGGTCGGGTGTCGCCCCCATCACGCACCAAAAAGAATTATAGGCTCTATATATATATATATATATATACTTTGTCGCCCTCCCCCACCCATTTTGCCAAATAGCATCAATTTAAAACTATACTTAATCAATAATTGAACTGACAAAAAGCTTAAGATTTTTTTTTACAACTTACAAGAAAAGGTTTTTATATTAATTACTATACAGCCCAGAATATTTTGTAGTTACCATAGGTATATAAGGTAACCATATTATTACATATTGGAAGCTCCAATTTCGACTTCCGAATGTTGAGATTTTTCACCGCTTAAATGCTACCATCGCGATATAAACATTACAATATTAATCTGGAGTACAGGCCGCTGTTGCCAGTTAAGCCTACAAATGCAAAAGTGCCTAGAGCTAAAAACGTTCCTGTATGCAGAAGTTACTATAAGTACTACTATAATGATTGAAAGATGGCAATGTGTGGAGAGCACTAAAGAACCAGAAAAATAAAGCCCTCACTAACGACCCGTTTTCTAACAAGCTATTGCACACGAAACTGGCGAGAATAATTGCCAGATACCCTGTTGTGAGGAATGGCAAAATACAGTAGGTGTCAGTCACAACTGTAGGGGTCCCGGGTCTAACGGCCATCTGCTGTGAATGGCTAGACTCACACGATCGATACAATAAGATCACCGTAGGCTGTATTCTGCTGTAAGAGAAAACTCAGAAATAGAACACTAAAATATCTAACACTAAAAAACTTGTTGAACAGATAAAACCTTTAAATATTAATATACTTGCTGACTTCAGTGGAGTTTTTTTTTCTTTCTGTTAAACGCAAAAAATGAGAAAATAAATATACTTAGGAAAGTCTAACACGGAAATATCTCTACAAATGCTACCCCTTCCCACCCCCAACCCAGACTAAAAGCCGCTTAATGTATTCACAAAACCACCCAAAGACTGGCACTGCATTGATTAGAGACATGGCCTGTTAATCAATAGAAATAGCGGCCAGATAGTGCTGCTACCCCAGTTGCTGTTGGCACACGGGGCTTAACGTAACGCCACTGTCTCAACATACCCATAGTGCTGGACTATTCTTATAAATATATGGCTACCTAAAGGTAAGTTGAAATATATATATATATATATATATATATATATATATATATATATATATATATATATATATATATATATATATATATATATATATATATATGTGTGTGTGTGTGTGTATAGGCATATATATAGGTATACAGATATATGTAATATACTTAGGCATATACGTAGGAATATATATACGCCTATATATATTTATATAAGCCTAAATAAATATGTGTATATATATAAATATATATAGGCCTATATATGTATATGTGTATATATATATATATAACACAAAAATAAATCTAAAAAATACTGTGAAAAACAGATACATGTGTACGTGGTGCTCACTTTTTTCTTCCTCTACGTTCTTAATTCTAGCAGTGGATTACCTCCACCACAATTACGTATTACGTGTTAACTGGTTAAGCGCCGTGCTAACTTTAAAGTTCAGTGATAATCCAATACCTTTCTGGTGGTGCTCGATCTGTTTACATAATTTAATCTTAAAGATTCTTTATATTCTTCCGTGTCTGTAAGTTTTGGATGATAATATCAGTTGTATTGAACAAGTCATTCGAGAATGATGTCACGATTTAACGTCATGGAAACCACTGTTTAAAATTATGGTAAACTAAACAATCAAAAACCTCCCGTTTAGCGAATTCCCGAGGACTTAATAATGTTCATTTAGTTTCTGGAGAACATACGTTTGTATACGGGTCCCTACATATTTCTTTTTGTTTGTCGATCTTCACGGGTCTGCAAGTCAATCGCCAGAATACCTGGCCAATGTATGAAGAGCGATTAAGCGTGACACGTTATACAAAGGGCCGTTGTGTGCCTCGGCTGACTTTAATTTTGTACCACTCGACGGAGTAGCCGCCCCTTTTGAGTGACTTGTAGCGAACTACGGAGTGCAAATGTTTATTTTCTTTCAGAGTTATCGATCTTGGTTGACGTTCAAAATAAGGGATTTAGGAGAGACAACACGGTTATAGGCGTAATAACAGACTTTATTCAAGTCAAAGCTGTTGGGATGTAGGCCTCTATCTGGCACACCATGACATTTACACAACAAGAAGCACGCCATTTTAGATAGTTTTCCTTTGATTTTCATCAGTCACAACATTTATAAAAAAAATGTAAAAAAAAAAAAAAAAAAAAAAACCCGGTAGGATGATCTACTAAAAAAATGTAAAAAAAGATTAGAAATAAAAATAATGTCAAATAAAATAACTTGTTAGTAATGAAAGATTTAACACTAGAGCTGTTCTTGACGACACAAACACGAAATCTTCATATCTACCTCACCACGGCCGTCACTGATAAGCTTTTTGTTGCTTCTAAAATCAATCACTGTCAATATGATAAGCTATAAATATTGCACACACCTTTCAGACGTAAATATTACACGGTAATTTCTGACATAAATATTAGACATACATTTCAAACATAAATTATACTAGCCGTCCCGGCCAGGCCCTGCTCTGGCTTCTGTGAAAAACCTTTCTGTTAAAGACCATTACCTGTGTGTTTAGTAATCATCATAAACCCGGCATTGCCCACCCAAACCACAACCAACCAAAACAATAAAACGCAAACATAACGCTAACACAATTACAAATACAAACGAAAACAAAAATCTAACAACAAACCCAACCACAACCACAAACACCAATACAAACACAAAGAAAAAACAAACAAAAAAGCAAACGAAAACAAAAACCTAACAACAAACCCAACCACAAACACCAATACCAAAAAAAAAAAAAAAAAAAAAAAAAAGGAAACGAAAACAAACCAAATCCAGACGCAAAACCAACCAAAAACACAAATACAACCCCAAACAAAAAAACACAAACAAAAACGAAAAAAGAAAGAACAAAAACGAACCAAATCAAAACGCAAACCCACCTAAACACAAAGAAAACACTAACGCGAACATAAACGCCCGGGGCGGAATCACCTGTTTTAGCTTAATGAACGACTATAGTACCCCAACTTATTCATAGTCTTTTGCACTCACTTAAACGAACGCGCCTGTTTCAATTTAATGAACAATTTTAATACTCCAAGCTTATCCGTAAAATACCTACAACATTTGCACTTGATCAATCCCCGCTAATTATGTAATTATTTTTTTTCCCAACACCAAAACAAAGTAATTAAAAAGTAAATTCTTTTCCACAAAATGCAATGGTTTTATAAAGGGAAGTAATTGTGTTTTCCTAATTTATCAAAGGGAAGTAAGTGCTATAGGGCTAAATAAAGACATAATTAGAATTTTTGTAAAAGATGATATTTTTTTAAAACTTGCGTTTAATGAACATGCCGACAATTATTACTATAATTTGAAAAAAAATGAAAATTATTTCCCAACACTTTCAATAGTAATTTTTTAACTCATAAATTTAGACAAATGCGCACGATAATTGTCTAACACTTAAATCCATCCAAGACCAACGACAAACATATGCGTTACATACAGAACTGAGCTTTATATATTAGATTAGACATACTTTTTCAGAAGTAATTATTAAGTAGGATTTCAAAGATAAATATTAGACGCAAATCTTCAGTTATCAAAGAAAACAAAGCGTGAGTGACCTCCCCTTAACTTTCTCAAATGTTCTTAAATTACACTACGGGGAATGGCAACTGTGGATATAGACATGATTTTTAATCAATTTAAATACTTAAAGTTTTAAAAATAGAATAGAATCGCGCAGAGTCGTAGCGACGGGGGGGGGGGGGGGGGGGGGGGGGTCATATGTCCCCATGCGCCGAACCTAGGGGCGCCAAAATAAGCTATTTTGAATTATAAATATAGAAAAAAAGGGGGTGGGCGCCAAAAACGAAAGTTTGTCCCCGGGCGTCGGGAGGGGTCGCTACGCCTCTGTAATCGCGATGAAAAAAAATTGCACACAAAGTGAACAGCAAACAATGTGTGTATAATAGTGCGGAACGTTAGGACTATATAAATTCAAAGGCGTTTTTTAAGAAATCGGAAATAGCATATTATAGTACTGCTTCCGGTCACAGGAAATAACATTAAATTTCAAAGAAATTACAGAATTAGATTATTTACTTACTTGTGGGGAAGTTTCATTTATCTATCAGAGACAGTACTAGAGTTATAGGCTTTTGAAAAACCGAAAGTAGAATACATTCCACTTCCGGTTATCGGAAATCGCTGAAAAGTTGATACAGAATAGATAAAATTTCATCA